ACGGGGGATTTTCAACACTCAATCGGAAATATATCAATGGCACCTCTCTCCCGACATGTTTGTCGAATCCGGGTCCAGTTCTTCTCCAAAGAATAAATCGGTCTTTAAAATATGATCCTCTGACGGAAGACGTGTAACTGCCTCCACAAGCCTCAGTATGGTCAAAACCCTGATTCCAAACAAACCAGGAGGAGGCGTACGAGCCACACACACCTCGGTTGAGGCAGTGGTCGCTGGCTCGATTGGGTATCGAGGTGTATTGGGCACCTTGGATGTTTGACCCCGTCCAAACGGCGTATGATCCGATGAACTGGACACTGGCTCCAATGGATTGCGGTTTTCGCACATCACCCCGCTGCCTTGCGGTTCAGGCGTGGCTAGTCAAAGGCTCCGATTGTGGATTCCTCAAGAAAATTCACCTGCCTCGATCTGGGCAACCTGGCAGTATTCCGCCCACATGCAAATTCTGAAATGTCTTTCTTTTTATAAAGATTACTGCAGTATGATTTGTTTGGCATAGTCTGGATTCAGATGTGTGAAAATAACGATCATAAAGACGTGGAACTATAACCCGCAACATGCTCATGTACGTCTTCCGAATGGAAAAAAGGAAACTGTATCAATCAGGCAGCTTGCTCTGGAAGCGTCTAAATAGGAAAAAAACTCAAAACCATTGCAGATCAGCATATACATCTCATGGAAGAACTACCCACACATTCGATTTTCGATTCAGCGGTTCAAATGAAAAACGAAACCAAGGAATCAGAAATCCACGGTAAATAAGTGGACCACACAGCAACTCATAAGACCTCTATTCTTTATATCGTAGTATCACTACCTAATGACAATGTAATTTTTATCTTTCCGGTTACGACGATGTTTCTTGATTACACATGATAGAATTACAGCAAAAGGGGGGATCCCCATAGACAGAGAGTATACTTAAAAAAGGAGATTAGAAGAACATCCACGGAAGATTCAGTTAACTGAGTCTGCCTTTAACGAGAGTAAGGTTGTACGTTGGGGAGGGGGGAATAGAAAGAGGGAGGGTGTTCCACAATTTGGAAGTTCGGAGAAATAAAATAAAATTGGAACAGAGAAGTACAAAACCGACTGGTGCCCAGCACGAACAGCAAGGTTAGCTATAAAAGCGTACCAGCATAAAGAATGAGTTATAGGCAATTCAAGAAGGGGAACAGAGTCTGTGGAACGAAGATGAGTGGAATCAAAAGATAACTGGGAGGAGAACGATTAATGTTTTAGAGAAATTGAAAGAAGGGAGGTTTTTGAAGCATTGAATAAAACATGATTGACATTGCCCCCAAGACATGTGTCTAAGGTCAGATTCTACTGACATATTAACTGCACTACGGTCACGATCGATGTTGGTTTGGACATGGCGTATATATTTACCACCGGCTTGTAGACAAGCATGGTGCCAACGCCACAAAAATAATAACAATAACAATAATAGGGGCAGGTGGATTGGGATACAGAGCGAAGTGGAAAGAGGGTGAAACAGTTAAACAAGGGAAAATGGTAGACAACTGGGATAACAAAACTTTTGTGTGTCACTGTACACTTTTTGATGTGTTTTTGTGTTGCTTGTTGTTTTTACGGGGCACGGGATTTCGACAGGCAGACAGTACAGCATTCGCGCCACCTACTTCTATTCTGGGCCATATCTCTCAATGTCTCTGACCAACAACAATCCTCGTCCCTTGAGCCCCAACCTGGAAGGCGGACGGCACCAACCGAAGGTAAAGATGAAGCCAGCTTCTTCATGACTCTACGCCATGTCCTGGTCTGACCGCCGCGGCGTTTGTTTCAGCCTTGTCCGGCACGTGCGGAGAGCACGGAAGGGTAGTCAATGGGCAGGCATACACAATACGTGACCAAGCCATCGGAGGCGGTGTAGAGCGATTAATTTTGTTAGAGAAGGACCATCCACAACCAACACACGACAATGAACCTCATCAGTACTAACCCCGTGTTCCCACCACACACGAGCAATACTTCGGAGACATCGGTGGTCGAATACAGAAAGTCGATTAGCATCCTCAACGAGGAGGGGCCAGGTCTCGCAACCGTATAGGGGAACGCTACGAACCGCGGCGATGTACACCCTTCCATTAGGGGACAGTTGAATGTCATGGCGGCGCCAAAGGTTGGTGAAAGCTGCTTTAACTCTCGCTATTTGTGATGTGATCCCCTCCCCAACACTATCAACAGCTGTGATCAAGCCCCCGAGGTACTTATAGCTCTTAACTACTTGCAGTTTATCACCACTGAGGGCGAGTGCAAGCACAGGCTGCTGCCAGTCTTGAACAAGCATATTGTACTTGGAAGGTATAAAGCACATAACACACCTGGATACCTGGATCGCAGAGTGGTTTGAAGCTTGTTGGACTGCCTGTGTATTGTCACCCAGCAGAACGATGTCATTGGTATATTCTAAGTCAAGGTCTCTGTTCCCTGGGAGGAGTTCGACTCCACCGTTTGCTAGACCGGACAAAGCATTCCGTAGAACATCCTATATGACAAAGTTGAAAAGGAATGGGATATAGGGCAGTCTTGCCGAACTCCATTGAAGACGGCGAAAATTGGCCATAGGCCCTAAACCCGACCTGAGGTATGGCGATACAACTCTTTGAGGATCGGCATATACTTCTCAGGTACTCCATTCCTCAACAAACAGTTCCATCGTGCGGTCCTATCGACAGAGTCGAAGGCCGTGAGAATGTCTTTCATAGGCATGATGATGCCCTAGCAGCTGTTGGAGGGTGAAGATTTGATAGATGCAGCCACGACCGGCGCGAAACCCAACCTGCTCCTCTCGCATAGTGTACAATCGGCGGACGCCAACAGCTTTGACGGTATTGGGATAAGGCTTATACCCCTATGATTGGCGCAGTGACTGCGCGGGCCTTTTCTGAAGATGGGGACTACAACCGATTCCCCCCAGGAGGAGAGGATCTCCTCAATGTTCCACACTTTACAGAACAGAACTCCTAGTTCTCTAACAAGCTTAATTCCACCATCTTTAAATAGGGCCATCGGAACCCGGCGCTTTGTGACGTCTCACGGTTTGGATCTCCTTACGGATTTCCGCCTCAGAAGGTGGGTCTGTTGAGACGGACCATGGGGCGTGTACCGAAATAGCTGTGAGAAGCTGACGCTGGTGGCCAGCTAAATTGTGCTCCACCCACCGTGCAAAGCGTCCCTGTTGATTGTAAATGGGCGAACCGTTTCGTTCACACCCAAGGCTTTCCTACTGATGACGGGGATGAGATGGAACAGCTTACGGGAATTAACCATGGCGGACATGGTGAGCAGTGCGGCAGGGGCGTGGCGCCATCGGAAAAAGAATGGATCGCGTTGACAGTTTTGGAAAGAAAATCATTGATGAATAGAAGAGAGTTGGCGCAAGTATTGAACCTTGGGGAACACCAGCATTCACAGGGAACGGCTTAGATAGAACCCCATCATCATCGTCGTACAGCGACACAGTGGACCGAAATTCACTGATCGCTGCCAAGCTCACAATCTGCACAAATCAAGTAATAAAGCACAAGATGGAGAGACAGATTGGGCCTAATTGGAGGGAGGCAGAAAAAGTGAACCTCTAAGGTCAGCACACAGTACATAATCTAAGTGTGCATACATACCTTTTCAAGTATTCTGATCTAATAAGAACTGACGACAAGAACGCCATTATTGTCGGTTAGTTGCCATATCCATCAGTGTGTCCGACCAACCAGTTGCAGTCATTCGGACCCCAACCTGAAAGACGGGAGACACCTAATCCACCTAATTGCCCGGTGCATTACTTCATGCCTGGTTTCCACGTCATCTGTTGACCTCCACGTGGTTTCTTCCAACCTGGAGCCGCAACTGCGAATAACGCGCTGTGCGGTAGACGATGGTTGGGTATGAATCCCATCAAATCGGACGGAGATGGATCGCTTGCTGAATAAACTTGATATCCACGCTACGAGCGCCTGAGCGAACCCAAACATAGGTAGTTTCGCCAGCAGACCTTCGTGCCAAGCTCGATCACAGGCCTTTGAGGCATCCAGCGAGACCAGTGAGAATGTGAAGAAAAAGGTTATCAGTGAAATAGGAAGAAAGTGGAGGTGTAGGATACTTGGGTTTGGCGGATTCGGCGGCAAACCGGAAATAAAAAACAGCTTTCCCCTGTGGTTGACATACAAGATCCCCTGAGGAATTACAGATAGTGGGGGAGGCTAGAAGGGTGGAAATTACGGGAGATTGCTTTGGCAAGGGAACAAATGCTCAACTACCGGTAGTGGATGAGACCCAGTTTTCGATTTTACAGCCAACGAAGCGTTCTTTGGTTTTCTGAATAGTTGTCGAGCATCTGTCCCTAGCTTGCACGAAGCGTTCGGAGTGGACCAACGGCGGAAAGCCGAGCGTTTTAGGCTGCAACACGTTCACATGCAAGGTTAAGTCACTAGGGGGTTTTGGGTTCGATGGGTTTGGAGAAGTGTGGAATAAAAAGATGCGTACCTTGATAAACAACATGGGTGAAGTTGGAAACAGATTTGGAAATTTCCAAAGGGAAACAACAATCGGTCTATAGATAAGAAGATAGGGAATCACGGAGACTGTCCTAATTGGTTGAGTTGTAGCGCCAGAACGTGCCTCAAGGTGAGTGGCGGATGTGGCTGGCAAACCTAATAAATAATAATATGATCCGATGAGCCAAGAAAAGGCAGAGTACAAATATCTGAGAAGATAGAAGGGGTCGGAGTGTGAATAAGATCGAGGGTATGAACACGATAACCAGCTCGATCAGGGACACCTGCGGGGAGGTCAAATAGTTGGCTCAGGTTGTTGACCAAAGCGAAATATTCGGCTTTGCGCCCCATAGAAGAAGTAGCAGATGAATGTGTCAATCAATCCCGCATATGAACGTAAAAAATCTCCCATGATTAGGGTCGGTTGCAAACAAGTGTTCAATGTTCGAAGATAGAAAATCAAATATGGATGAGTTGCAGCTCGTGAGGGGAACGATATAGAACATAAAGATAATGATTAAAAGAAGGAAGTCGGAGTTTCAGCCACATCAGCTGAAATTCACGAGTGGAAAAATCAAGATTTGGGACCCAGGAGGAGGCGACTGATTGGTGAATAAAGACGCATATACCAACTTTCGGTAGTAGAAAGTACAGTTGTGGACTTGAAGGTGGGTGGTGTCTGATGAGGGGGAGAATGGTGCTTCTGACAAAAAAGACCGGTGGAGAAGAACAATGGAGAAATTGGTGTACAGAATCCATGTTGCGGTTCAGTCTGCGAATCTTGGCGATAATGATGAGTGCGTGTTTCCAGTGCGAGTGTGTAGAGCAAGCAAGAGAGCTATGGTTTTGGATCTACGTTTTCTCCCTCATTTAGCGCTCACTCATCTCACATAGACTTACCTGGCTTATGGCTAACCAAGAGATTGGTGGCGGGTCATCTACCCACGACCTGGAGACCAGTCTGATGGTACACAGCTCTACTTCCATCTCTAATCACAGATGTTTGAAACCGAATAAGTATTGTAACACACTGGAATGCATGAATTGGTAATTGTCAACAAGATCCTCTGGAAAACAGCCAAAGTAAGATTATTTCTTAGGGATATCGGAAGCGCTGGGGGGTTCGAAGACCCTTCTCCATTGACAGACAAATTAAGGGCAACCAGATAAGAGATATCGTGAAGTACAACGGAAGTGTCAAGGGTGTGGCAAATGATTAAATCACCGTGATAGGCTAAGGGACTTACCAAATAAACCTCGATCATGTTGTGGCCCGGTATAAGGTTCAGCTTTTGTTTCACTGTTACATTAATTTCATCTGAAGATCCATCTTGGCGTTCTGAGACATAACTTTTATCAAACATTTTTCCAAAAATCTGAACAATCGATTTATATTCCGGAATTTCCACGGAAAGAACCGTGGAAGCCCACAGAATAGTGGAGATGGCTTCTCTGACCAGTTGATCTAATGGTCTGTATCAATGAAATTCAAAACAACAAAAGATAAACACTTACCCACCATTTTTAAGCAATCCCATTCTCGATATCAAAACAGTATGCAAAGTTTTTACCACTTCTAATGCCTCGACATAACTGTCATCACGTATCATCTGTTCTGCATGAATTCGAGCCCGTTCAACTTTATCCTGGCGAAGATAGTCACACACGGTGCCACGTGAAACAAGAGACCTTTCCGTATGTTTTCTTATCAATACATCAAAACGACTAAGGGTAACGTTCAACAAACATTTGAGCTTCTCGAAGTCGACTTTCCGTGATTTAATTTTGAACATTAACGTTCACCAGCTGAAACAAAACAATGGAAATTAGTAAATTATTACGTTTCCACGTGACCAAACCTGAAGAGATTGATGTATAACTGCAGTTTAATGGTAACCAACGCTCCGTTATCGTCCAGCACACCACTATACTTACTACATTGAAGCCTCATGCGGTTCACCATTTCAAGTCAAAGGAGCATGATCACTCAAACACTCGCCCTCAGTACGCATTGGTAAAGCAAACACGAAGTCATCACCATCAGCAAAATTCGCGGACCGCAAGCTTCAGTGTGTACATAAACTAAGTTGTCCAGTGTTTTTCTCCTTTTGTCCTGCTTTTGAAAGGAGCCCGAATGGCTCCTCATCGACAATCGATGCTTACGTAGTCTAGCCCCGTTGGATTGAGTGAGCGGGTTAGTAACCTAGAAGTAAGTCGTCCGGTGTTTTGGAATGCATAGAAGTGAGGTAATTAAGGAATCCGATGGCACACTGATTCATATTCAGCAACGCCGTCTCGATCAATGGGCTGAACATTTCGAGGCTCAGTTTAACTGGCCCCCATTGACATCTGATCTATCACTCTCCACCTCGACTGGGCAAATGCTCCCAGTTGATGCCAGTCCTTTATCTGAAATGGAGGTTTCCTGGAAATAAACTAAGGCCTCCGGCCCAGACGGACTGTCTCCATCCGTTTTTAAGGATGGAGAGTTAGCCTTGGTTTCGGGTTGACGAAACTCCTGGGCTCAGTGTGGGAGATGGAACAGATTCCAACTGAATGGTTTGAGTCATTTTGCCGATTTGCAAGAAAGGTACCAGATCCTCTTGTGAAAACCACAGAGGAATTAGTTTAATCAACATTACTTCTCACTGGCATCATATTCCGCCGATTGTCTGCCGCGGGTGAAGAGTGCACGCGTGAGAACCAGGTTGGTTTTAGACCTGGTCGAGGCTTTATCGACCACACCTTCACTCTTTGCCAAACTCTGGAGCACCGATATTCTTTTCGTTGACCCACCGTCTCTATCTTCCTCGTTCTGAAAGCGGTTTTCGACTCAGTCGACCAGCCACTCGCGGCGGCTGCTACAGTGCAAACCGGAGTTGTCAGTGTTATCGTGTTGGACGGACGAAGTCGGTTTCGCGACTCAACGGCCGAAGCAATGATCCGTACTCACCAAGTATGCATGGACCCCTGGGGGCCCTTAGCTAGAA